GTCAAACCCCTCTGCAATGAGCAGGGGCATCATCAACTAGATCAGGTTCCTCAGACCCATGTCCAGCCTGGCCTTGAATGTCTCCAGGGATGGTACATCCACCACATCTCTGGGCAACCTGTGTCAGTGTTTTACCACCCTCATTGTAAAGAACGTCCAGCATAAACTCCCCTCCTTTAGTTTAAAACCATCACCCCAAGAGCATCTGCTCGTGGGAGAAGAGCCCAGAACGAGGTCTGTGCAACATCCTGCAGCACAGGGGTGTTACTGCAGCACCGTGGCTTTGGTAGGTGGCAGTGCTAGGTCAAACTCATCCTCAACTTCTTCCCACCACCACCATGCAGGGACCCACCTGCAGTTCCACTTCTCCGGAGGCTCCGCGGTGAAGTACTGCAGGTCCCTGGGGAAATGGTACTGGTAGCGCCGGGACACCACCCTGGCGTTGGCTTTCACAGACCAGAGGAGCCCGAAGAGGAGCAGGATGCCGCCGATGCCGCAGCAGAAGAAGCTGATGGAGCGGAGCAGGGCGCTGGAGGAGGAGCTGGGAACGGCCTCGGCCTCCCGGGGAGGCAGGAGGTGAGCACCGGTGCTGGCTGATGATCCCACCTCCCCATCGCTCCACCAGGCGAAGCACAGCGTCCCCGTCACCAGCAGCACGGCCCCGGTGATGGTCATGCCATAGCGGAATGAGGCGGCTGCCATCCTTCGGAAGGAGGTTTTAGCAGGGTGGAAGAGTGAGGCAAGGCATGAGAGAGCCCACGTCCTGCAAGACAAGAAAGGGGTTGAGCTGGACAAGGTCGTAGAGGAGAAAATGACTGAGTTAGGACCTCTCTGAGGGTTGCACACTCTTTAGGTGCTTATTGACCATCAGAAAAGGCATTTCCACCATCCCAACGGGAAGCCCTTGTGCAGAGCGAAGTCAGATGCCAGTTTGGATGCATAAACTTCCCAACAGCCTCGTGAAAACATCCTCATTTTCAATATCAAGGCAGTGCTCCATGGAGGCAGAGTGGAAACCCCAGCCAGGGGAGCTATGGAGGCGGCTCTGGGGACTTGCATAGCTCTTGTCTTTGGGGTTTATTCCAGACTTCCTCCAGAGCTTGGAGGAACGCCAGCAGGGTTTCTGATCAAAGCAAGGCTTATGGAAGAGGTTAAGGAGAGGGACATAAATTTAAGATGTGATCACTCCCGAGTTATCCGTGCACATGGTTTCTCCTCTGAAACTGGAGGTAAATCAGTGCTGCGGTGACAGTAGGTGTCTGGCATCACTGCTCCATAGCCCACAGCCCAGGGGACTTGGGGCTTCCTCAGGGAAAAGAGCCAAGTACCTCACTGAAAGTTGCAGAGCTGCTATTTCAGGAGGGAAAAACCCCCTCATATGCTGACAAGGCAGAGGGACCTCACCTAGGGATGGCTCCTGAGACACCCAGGACCCCAGTGAGCATTCCCATCACTGATGGAGCCTGCTGTAGCTGCACTCCCTGCCATAGCCAAGCTCAGGGCAAGGATGGGAGCAGGAATCCATCTGTATCTCCGTTAAAAGTCAGGAATGTGCTGGATGCAAGCTAAACCCTAGGAGGGGGTATGAGTTACTGCTGAAGTAGGTGTTTGTGCTATGCTGGTTGGGGTGGCTGAGGCAGCAGAGCAGTGAGATCTGTGAGGCTCTTACTGACCCACTTTGAGACACCCCAGCAGAGAGGCTTATTCTGAAGATGGGATAAATACCCTGATGCTGTCAAGGCTGCTCAATCCTCATCCAAACAAGCTTTGGCACAAAAATCTTGCTCCCCTGGGTCAGATCCAGCACACACCTCCTCAGGTCCCCAGCACAATTGATCCCATAGGTGTTATTACCACCTTCACTGTCCCTATCAGCGGTTTGGGGTTGGTCTGACAAGCAAAGAGATGAGGCAGTGCCACATGTTCCTGCTGGTTGGCACTTCTCAGCCTCATCACACACTGAGAGCAACCATCCTTCCCTGGCACAGGGAGATGTGGGGAGGGGGAGCTGATCTCGGGGGGGTCTCTCACTCCGCTTTGCCTTCTCCAGCAAACAACAAGCATCTGGGCTTAGGGACCCCAGCTCCCAACTACCCAAACAGCACCAGCAACCAGGGCAGCAGAGAGGTCCCATCACGTCCCCTCTGGCCCTGCTCACTGCCCAGCAACAAGATGCAGGTTCAGCTCCCACTTCTTGACAGACAAAAAGCTTTGGACCATGTGGGAATTAAGCACCAGCACCTCCTTAGAGATTCGGTCCTGGGTGACTCCTCTGTGAGGGCTTCTCATGTGGTGGTATCAACGGAGAGGCTGGACACCAGGGCACAGCCAGGATGGAGATGGGGCTCAAGCACAGAGGTGGATGAAAGCTGGATGATCCACACTTAGCCCTCACCACTGCATTCATCACTTTGCCTGTATGTCAGTGAAATGAGGATGATCTGGTGGCTTTGGTCTCCATTCCTCCAGGCAGGTCTCCATTCCTTCGGAAGCAGGGAGCAGAAGCCCAGCACACACTCGGTGTGACCAAGGGCACATGGAATTACATTATTTCAAGCCATTATTTATCAGATGGGCCCATGAAATGGAAATGACAAATTACTTTGTAGTGAAAGAAACACCAGCTGATCTAATCTGCCTTTAATGAAGGAATCCGATGAGAAGTGGGATTTAGGAAACCTGCAGGAAGGCTGCAGGACTGGGAGCCCTGACAACACGCTCCAGCTCTCGTCCTGCGGTCACGAGCCCAAATTGCTGCTCAGCCAGTGGTCCCCAGCAGCACCCACAATGACCCACAGGGAAGGAGGGCTGGGAGGAGGGAGAGGTTCCCCTATGAGGAGGGGACATGTTTAGATGCTCCCTCCTGAATGGCAGGGGCTTGGCTGAGCTGAGACAGAGAAGGGACTGTTAGAGATGCTGTTACACGCTGTCAGGGACCAACATCCTCCAACTCACCTCCGAATGTGAGCTGGACACAGCAGACAAGCTGGGTTTACTCTGCCTTGCAGCAGTAGATGCTCAGGAGAGCGCAAGGACCCAGCTGACCTGTGAATCCCGCTCCTTAGGAGAGCATGACATCTTCCTGGCAGATTTTCAGCCAATAGTCATAAAATGCCAGACTGGACTGGGTTGGAAAGGACCTTAAAGCTCATCCAGTGGGCAGGGACACCTTCCACTAGAGCAGGTTGCTCAAGGCCCTGTAACCCACAACTCAAAAGAACCCCTACAGCAAATCTCTTGCTCCAACTGCATGGAAATGACAGGTCAATCCAAACTGAAAGCCTGGATTGGAACAGCACCAAGAGTTGGAATGTTTTGGGGTCAGCCTGGCGAGCTCTGGGAGATGCTGCGGTTCTCTTGGCAAGGTTTGGGAGCTGCTGCCTGCATCCCTGGCGCTGCGCACATCTGGGAGCAGTGGCAGCGAGGGGGAGGCGGATGTGGAGGGAAGGCGGGGAGCCTCTGGGAATGACGGATTGACAGCTCGAGAGAATAAACTCCTCTCTCTTGACAAACCCAGTGCGGCGCAGCCTACACGTGCTCCCGCCACGCGTGTGCGGAGGTGGCTCCCCTGTGCTGGATGACATTGCCCCTCATCAGCCCCCCTCTCGGGCTGGCACAGCTCTCCTGGGCCTCTTTAGAAGACCCACCATGTTCCTCTCAGCACAACCACCACTGGAAGAACAGGGCAAAGGAGCAGGAAGCGAGGTGTGAGACCAAGGCAGGACCTGAGCTCCTGCTCCCTCAGCCTGCCCCTGGCTCCATTCCCAGGGCACTCAGCATCCCAGTGAGGTTTCCAAGGAGGGGCTGCCCCTCCAAAGACAGCTCCCAACAACCCGC